AAATTGTGAGTTAAAATAAACCTTTTCCGAGCTTATTATTTTAGGTATTGTTACAGTGACAGAGAGCTAACACAACCAGGAACACTTAGGGACAAGAGTCAGAAAAGGAATGCTCTTGAAGGGGTGAAAATTAAGGTAACAGCGTTACCAAGAGGGCATCAAAGGAAAAACCATGAATAATGATGTGACTGTTTCAAGTTTTGCGCTGATCTTTGTAGGAAGTGGCCTTCAAACTGTTGGCTGCATTTCCAAGTTTTATGCGATAGATACCCAGTTCCAAAGTGTTCCAAAGACCATAGTAAACACTGCCTACAGCCTCCCTCTTCTACCCTGCTTTGTTCCTAAGGAGAAAGAAAATCGGTCAGGCTTCTGCCTGAGCAACACGTTTCCTTTAATGCTCTATTCCTGCATCCCAAGCACAGTGGCTAGCTGTCTCAGCCATTAGGGCATATGGGAAAGACTAAATGCCTGAGGAACACCTCTTCTAAGGCGTGTCCCGAAAGAATGCTGTATTTGAGGACAATGCCAAAGTTCCAGCTCTCTAATCTGTAAACTTTCAGAAACTCCTTTTGTTTGCTCTGTAAGTGAGAACATCTGAGACTAGGGTCCAAAGAGTTACAGCTTCTTGGTAATACTAGAGCAATACTAAATATAGAACATAAGCCTATTGGGCTTAAGGCTCAGGAATACTTGAAAATAAGCCTTTGTGTTAAATTGTCCAGTTAACCTCTGAAATGAAAATGACAGCAGTCTGCATGACTGCTGCAGCTCTAAGTTACAAAAGGAGCTCTCTAATGAAGTCACGCTATTTTGTTGCCCTCCCCCCCAAATTCTCTTTGCAGCCCAGGCTGGCCTCGAACTTGCAATGATCCTCCTGCCTCAGACTCTCGAGTGCTGGGATTACAGGCGTGCACCACCACGCCCCTAAATTAGGGTGGTTTTCCTTTTTTTGTTTTTTGTTTTTCTTCCGGTACCAGGAATCGAACTCATGACCTTGCACTTGCCAGGTAGGCACTGTGCCGCTGAGTTAAATCCCCAGCCCCCCGAAAAACTTCTTAATTATTTAACAAACCTATGAAGAATGAGTGGAAAGAAATATAATCAAAGGTTGGATTACTGGTAAAGTGTTATAAATTATTTTTGTCATGCTGTACTTCTGACTTAAATCTTTAAATAAAATGGTTTCACTAGTGTTATGAATACTAAATAGCACAGAATGTTCTTGAGAATTAGAAAAATCCAATTTCCCTGTATCATGAGTCATCCTTGACTATAATTTATTCTTTATTTAGAAACTTCCATGCTGACTGACCGACATAATGGAGTATTCAAATTAGTTTTAGCAATAATTTCTTCTCTGACATGCAGGCAACCGTTGCTTGAAATCACTAAATGAAAAAAAGAATATCATTTTCTAGCCGATAAGCCAAAAGCAAAGTCATTTTCCTGGTTAGTCTTAGACTTTATTCATAAAAAGCCAAAATAAGTAGTTTAAAAGAAAAACATTCAAGGGACTTTTTCTTGTTTCACAGGATTGACCAGTTGTTAGACACACTCATAGAATACACAAAGGTCCCAGGAGTTCAGGTGTACGGAACAGAGCGACATATGACACAGAAAGGCAGGTCAATCTGGTAACAGTAGACACTGATGTTCAATCTGTTACTTTTCAAAAAACAAATGGAAATGATTGATCAATTATTACAATGAATACACATGCAACAAAACCTTTTGATTTTGTCATTTTACAAATGAAATATATTGCCTGTTTTCCCAAAGATAACCCATGTGCTGTTTTGACATATAGTCTATATGAGCTTCACAACATGATCAAAACACCACAGCATGTATACTAAAAATGGTATCACACACACCTCTTCACTAAAAAGCAGAGTTCTGAAGTGGAAAAGCAGGCAAGCTTAATCCCTATAGAGGGACCGGTCAATTGGTACACACTTTTTGGATGGCAGTTCTTATCAAAACTTTAACTGTATACACCTTTGACTTAGCTGTTCCACTTTTGGAAATTCAGCTTAAGAAATTATTTGTATAAGAACATGAGGATACTCTATGTGAGACTGGATAAAACAATCCTAGTTCATCCAGAGAGTGCAACGTTACAGAGCTGCTCAGAAAGAATGTGAAAAATCTAGATGTCCTGACACCTGGCACTGTGTGCAAGTAAAACAGCACAGAACTTAGTAGCATTTTAACATTAATAGCATTATCCTAATGAAAAAAACTATGTACATTATGTACAGGAGCATGTAACAGGTTACACAGCCTGTACTTCTGAGGAATAGGCTTGTGGACAAGGGGTATTTTTCACATTTTGCTTTACATATCTTTGTATATTTCAGTTTGGTACAATGACCCCATACAATGTATTAGTTTTCTAAAATTCATATAACAAAACTCACCCTTTTAAATGTATAATTTCCTCGTTTTTTTTAGTATATTCACAAAGTTTACCACCCCAAAAAGAAACCCTAAGCCTGTTAACAGTCACTTTACTTTCCCATCTCTGTAGCAACTGGAAATCAGTAATTTGCCTTCTGTTTCTTTGCATTTCTCTCTGCAAATTTCATAAAAATGGAACCCTCTCACACGTGACTTTTCGTATCTGCCTTCTCAGTATAATGTTTTCAAGATTCATCCACAGTGTAGCATGCATCAGTAATTCAACCCTTTTCATGGCTAGACATTACTTGTATAATTAAGAAATCTATAAACAGTTCTAATTTTAAAAATACTCAAAAACACACATTACCTTTTGTACAAATCACTTTATAGAAACTCACAGACAGATCTAAATGTGTCCATATTATGGGATAGTTTATTTTTGTCTCACCACTCCTAATGCTCCCTTAAATAGCTAGTCTCTGAGAACCATTCAAAAGGCTCCCCCCTCAAACAGTATTCTTATTTTCACGTATATCTTTTTATTGGAATATTAACTATCACACGGTAGACCTAGTGAGCGCTCTGTCCTGCTGCCTTTTATTTTCTCTACCCCTCCCACACCATCACAGTAAACACAGAGACACAGATATAGTCAAAGTCATAATTTGGAAATATTGTGGATGTGCGGGCTTTTGACCAGGAGCCAGGGCTGGGGAACTGACTTTAGAATACGAACCATATGCAGAACATGTCTCCTAAAGTGTAAAATTTTCAAATGCCATCAGTAACTTTACAGGAATTGGTACTTTCTAGTTTTTATTCTTCTGAATCAAAATCAAGAATATTTTGCAAACCAGCCACGGTGGCACATGCCTATAACTCCAGTCACTCTGGAGGCAGAGGCAGGAGGATCATGAATTCAAGGCCAGCCTGGGCAACTTACCAACACCCTAAGGAAAAAAAGAAAGGCTGGGGATGAAGCAGAGCACGCCCTAGGTTCAATCCCTAGTGCTGCAAAAACCCCTGAAGAACATATTTTGGCCTTATATCCTTAATACCCAGTTACTTCATTATCTGAACAAGTCAAAGTTATGCAACATTAGTCTATATAAAAAAAGACCACTTTGACTTCACAATTAAAGACTCAAATATAAATGCAGAATACGTTTATTTTCTTTAAAAAGATGGACTAGCCACTTTCTGGCCATAGAATTTTGCTTTGTAATTACCTCAGTAATTGCTAGGGACTACAGCTGGCAAAACAATAAACAAACTGTCACGGCTTATTTATTTATGTATTTATGGTTTTGAGACAGGGTCTCACTCTATAATTTAAGCCAGCCTTGAACTATGCAGCCCAGACTGGTCTTAAACTTGCAGTGATCCTCCTGCCTCAGCCTCCCACATCCTGGGATTACAGGTGTGCACCACCATGCTCAGCATGCAACTGTCATAGCTGTGATCAGCTGAAGAAAACCACATTAATTCCCCATCTCCATATTTTTATTAGGGTCATTCAAATGAAACTCAGTAATGGATTTTTAAATACATGCATGCGTGCTGGGCGTGGTGGCACACGCCTGTAATCCCAGCAGTCGGGAGGCTGAGCCAGGAGGATCGTTCTGAGTTCGAAACCAACCTGGGCTACAAAGTGAGCTCAAGGCCAGCCTGAACTGCATAGTGAGACCCTGTCTCAAAAAGACCAAAATAAATAAATAAATAAATAAATAAATAAATGCATGTACTAGGCACTACTCGGTAGAATTTGTGGTGAAAGCAAACCATCTATGTTCCTACATGGATCAGAACCTATTACTTGATATTCTCTTCACCTCTGAGAAAGAATGTGGATTAGGAATTGTGTGTAGAATGAACGCATTCCACTAAGTAAAGTTTCTTTTGTGGTATTCGGGCTTGCGTTCAGGGCCTTTGCACCAAGCTCCATCCCCAGCCCTTCTTTTTATATTTTTATTCTGAGGCTCTCACTTCATCGCTAAGTAGTCTGGGCTGAGCTTGAACTTGCAATCCTATTGGCTCAGCTTCCCTGACTGTTGAGATTATAGTCTTGCGTCACCATGCCCAGCTCACTAATTAAAATTTTGATTTTTGTCCTGGATATGATAAACTTCAATATAGGAACACTGTACCAGCAGCAAGCTCTCCGTGTAACGGGAGTAAATGCTAAGTGCATGAAATGGAATCCTTTTATGACGTATTAATCCTTCAAGTCTGTTTTCTATCAGATAAACTGCACAAGGAGTTTTGGTGTGTTGATTTTCAAAATCACTTTCTAACTAGGTTCTAGAAGACCTGATTTAAGCGGTAGATATCTGAACCATGTACTGGAAAAACCAAGAGGTAATGCAATTCTACTGTATGTAAAACACTGCCACTTATTGCCATAATAAACAGTTTAGTATTGTGAAACTCTGAACTAAAGTCAAATTCACTTTTCTCTCTCATACTTGTTTATTTCCACAAATTCTTAAATAAACTAGGCATTTCACCTTGGAATAAAGTAAGACTAAAAGGAATATAATACTATTGGTATATTCAAATAAACGTCATTATATTTTCACAAAAAAGACATACAAACATGAAAGTCATAACTCATTTATTGAATGAATTGTATATGCAAGAATACCAATAAAAGGAAACTAATACTACAAACTACAATTTTGAAAATAAAGCCAATATAACAAGAACAAAATATACATAACATGAGAGGAATGTTTGATTTTTGACCCATGACGCATTCCTTATCTTTACAATTATTCTAAATGTCTGTTAAAACAAACTATACCTTGGTCTAACCTCAGTGCTTTTTAAAAAAGCAACAACACTCTAAAACACTTTTTCCTTTGCTTTGAGATATTTGAGATTCACACATTTGTTCAAGTACATAGATTCTGATTCAATAGTAGATCAACAGATCTTATTATTCTCTTAGTATCTTGAGTAGCATGTCATTCAGAGCAAGTACTATCTGAAATTCTAAAGTTGCTGATCCTTGAAATAAAATTCATATCAGTTGTGGGTTTTTAATAAATTGAGATGAATGTAAAAATCCCCCCCTCCTCCCCCCAGGAACAAAGAGTTCTTATTAAAGTATAGAAACTCAAGTCTATCTTTCTACTCTAAAGAACATTTCTAACATTTCTGGTAAGGCAATAAATGCTCCAGAATAATCTTCAATATATGCTTGCAAAGATTACACTGTTTAATATCAATAACACCAACAACGACAACAAAACAAAAAAGAAAAAAACGAAAGAAAGAAAAGACACTTCAAAATTTTAGGCTAAAATATGCATAAAAGACAGTAATGGCAGTATTTTTTGGAAATGATGTAAATGTCATATACTTATCAAATAATGTCATGCTTAGTAAAACTACAGTTAAGGATTTAAGAGTTGTACAGTAAATACACTGCTGAGGTTCATTTATCTAAATATTAATACCACAATGTAATCACTACCCAGAAGATGACGATGCTACTTGGGAACATAAGTACTGTACAATTTTTACATTGTAAGGCACTTTTACTCAGCATGTGATGAGAAATGGATAATCAAAAATATTGTAGGTTTACAACCAAAGATGATTTTTCATGTGACTTCAATTCATACTTCAATTAATGAAAGATTACTCAGCCAATCACACCACAGTGAAAAAAACAGGTAGTCAGCCACTTATCTAGCCAACCAAAGGTAAAGTGCTATTCTGGTTGCTAGTGGCAGGGAAAGAGCTGAAGAAACCCATACAAAGTCATGTATTTTACTACACAACAAATCCATCAACTGACAGCTGCAGTATTTGAAGTCCATTATGTAATTATTGACTGGCCATGATTACCCCTGGCACCTTCCATTTTTCCTAAAAAAGAATCGTTACAGTAGTTGTCCAAAAATGAAGGAGCTGTTTCTCCATGGGTAAGTTCTATGGCACACAATGTAAGAATGACCTAGACACAGTGATTTAAAGATTTAAGAAATAATGGTTTTCAAGCTGTTGTAAAGAAATAAAGTACAGATCCTTTGGAAAAAGTCACATAGCTTGGTAAACAAACATTTAGATCTGTCCTTGCACTTCAAGTCATGAATTTTGAAAATTAATCACATACACATGATGGCATATTGAAAGCAAAACGAGAAGACACAGAGGGCAATCCACTACTAAAGACAGTTTCCTTCTAAAAATAACAATAAAGATGGTTAAAATAAAGCAAGCATTTAGTCCCTTGATTGAAGTAAATGTGTGAATCCACACTTGATGAACGTGCTCTTAAGGGACTAGCAGTTAAAAAATTCAGTTACTAAGCACAGTGTAATTTTCCACCTGTTACATTTAAAAATGCTGTTCTATCAGCTGCAGAATATCTCAATGTACAGTCAAGTTAACATGATTCTTTATTTCCAACTTTGCGTTATTGTGATAGGTTAACTAATAATTCAGAAATCAGAATCCCTATCCTGGGTATTGAGGTGCTATGGTAGTATTAGGCAGACCACAATGAAAGCTTTTTGGTTTTGCCATAAAGAAACATATAAATGTGCTTCAGCAGTAAGTGGAAGAAAACGTCACTAGCAAGACATGCCAGTGTAAAAATCCTTTCTAAATAGCTGGGTTCTTCGGCTTTCAGAAACAATTCTGATGATCAATATAACAACACCAAGCCCTACCAGGAAAAAAGCAGGGCACAAAAGCCTATTTAATAGATAACCAAACAATGACGGAAAACATTAAAAATATTAAATAAGTTTCTAAAATAGTGGTCACAAAATTAAAAATAAATACTGTTTTATGCAAAGGCTGTTTTTTACTTCTACAGCACATGAGACCTCCTTAGACACTTTGGGCCAATATGTGAAGTGTTCCACACAACAGGGCACTTGAGAGGAACGGGTTTCGGATGTGGTGTCTAAAGTTCTTAGCAGGCGGTAACCCCTTAAATCTGGAAGAGGTTTAATTTGCTGTTGCCAAACGTTAGTTTAAACTCGAAAGGATTCGATCATTTTGCCAGAAGCTCTTTGTATAGCATGGAAAGAGAAGAAGCGTATTGTCATGAGAATTTTGGCATAAGCACTGGAGCTCACAGCTCGTAACTGCCAGCCGCCCAGGTCCATGCTGGTCAGTGAGAACAACTCTGACAGGAACCAAATGAAAAGCTTCAGCACACTTCTTGGAAGAGACTTTTAGCATGTGCTTTCAAAGCTAAGATAAAAAGAAGGTTCTCTTCATTTCTAGCCTCCATTACTTGAGTGTGAAAAGAAATCCACAAATTACCATGTGTTGCCACCAGTGGCATGTTTGCATTGTAAAGTAAAATTTGCTTACGTTTCCCTTGAGCATGATCCACTAAACGAACTTAAACACTCTAAACAGTAGAACTTTGTTCAGTCCAGGAATATAGCTTACTTCATTTCAATGTCTGCTTTAACTGTTGACACTATACACAGGGTTAATAGTGTTGCAACTGCTTCCCAGAAACTGCAAACTACAGCTACGAAATATCGACACGTCAAACTCAGCCGTCTAGAGAAGACTCATAAAACAAACAATATGTTTTTAGGCAGTTCAATGAAGGATCTAAGAGTTGGGCAGTAAAAAGTTACAAACCCTTTTAGAAAACAGTGAAAAAAGAATAGTAGTTATGGATGTCTTATTCATTCCCAGTTTTCTAACTTTGTCCCATGAACCTGTTTAAAAGATGATAAGAAAATGTAAAATATGATGTTTGAGGGGAATACAATCAACATAATGTTATTGAGGAGTGAGAATATCTTGATTGGACATTGTAACTACATTTACTGATAAAGGAGACAGTTTGTTTTTATGGTTACAAAACTGGCTAGTTAAAAAAAATACACAAGCCTATATAATCCTCAGCATTTTGGTAACATGCTCTTAACTAAACATATTAGGGTTAAAAAAATCTTACTGCATACTACTACTTCATTATGTCTTTATCAGTAGGTATTATGTCCTGCCAACAGATCCCATATAATTAACATCCATACCTAGTTTCCGTTAAGTTGCTGCTGAGTTTGTTGCTGATCAATTTCTACTTTTCCTCGGCTTTTACTCTCTCGTTCCTCATCTTCTTCATCTCTCTCATCGTTTCCACTATGGTTTTTACAATATAGTCTACAATGATGAAAGATATTGTCATTGTTGATAAGAACACCTCTATGTTATCATTAGCAGATGAGGCTGGTGCCCATATAAAATATGGGTTTCCTCACTCACATTTAAAAACACCCCAAGAGCCGGGTATGGTGGTGCATGCCTGTAATCCCAGCACTTGGGAGGCTGAGGCACGAGGATCATTGCGAGTTCGAGACCAGCCTGGGCTACAAAGTGAGCTCAAGGCCAGCCTGAACTGCATAGCGTGACCCTTCCTCAAAAAATAAAAAATAAAATAAAAACACTCCAAAATTAATTACAGTTCCATTTCTATCTAAAAGATAGGACAGCATACTGTTACTGGGATTACAAAAGTTCATCTGGAATGAAACCTCTAGTTAAGGACAGCAGTTATCATAAAGCCAATTCCTCATTTTCCCCAATAAGATTAAAGCAAGGTTTTTGGCCAACTAAAAATACCACTTTTTGGTGTGATAAAATAATACAATTCTATAAATTCACTTTATATACATAATTTACAATCACATTTCAATAAACAGCCTATATATACTGCTACTTGCGGTTTACAAAATGTGAAAGAATTTTACTCAAACTCTCCAAATCTCCTTTCACTGTTAGTGTTCTGGCCCTCTCTAGAATACCTTCCTTCATGAATCACCCACATTTCCCCTAATTGTATTTGCTTCTGCCTCTGTCAATCTGGACTGGTCCCTCCAACTTCTCTTTGTCTCTTGACACTGACTTTTGGATGGGGCCAAGCCAGACAGCTTACCAAATGTACCACACTGTGGATTTTCTAGTACTGTTTTCTCTCCTTCTTCCGTATAAACTGAGAATAAGGCTTCAGGGCTTGGTTAGCTTTAGGTTCAACTTGCATGTAAGTTCAAACAGCCCCATTATGAGTGAGCCTATGCTTGATCAATCGGTTAAGGTGGTGGTGATGGCTGGATTTCTCCACTGTAAAGGGAGTCTTTCTCCTTTAAAACTAGAAAGTGATTCCTGGAGTGAGTCATTGGCAACATACTTTTCCAACAACCTTTTACTGGGGTATATATGCTGTATTTTTGAACTTCATTATGTTTTTAATAAAAGTAATAATGTAGGTGGTTTGGGATAATCAGAAATAGATGGGCTGATCTGAACTCAATGTTGGGTCAACTATACACAGGATGATGGAACACTTACAAAATGTTCACTGTCTGCCCTCTTGTGGTCTATCCGTAGTGGATAGAAGACTATACAGGAATTCACATGTCACAAATAGATGGCGTAAACTAGGTATAACATTTGAGAAGAATAAAGGGCGAGACTGGGGTTGGGGGTACAACAGTAACAACTGACTTCAATCTACTTTTGCTCATTATTTTAGAGACTTAAAACATTTTCATTAGCTTTCAAAGAGCTATGGAGAATTTGTATTTTTTAAATGTTCCACATTGGGAACTACCTTTAAAAAAAACCTCATGATTTTAAATATCAAGAAATTCCTATACAGTGTCACCTATGAAGCATCTTCTCAAATATATAACCTGAATCAAATCAAACTTTTGAACCAACTTATAGTTTACACAAAATATGGGGAGAGTGTTAAAGATACAAGATAAATGGCATCACAAAATAGCAACAGACGAGTCTAGAATATGAGACTTCAGAACAACTTACTGGGATGCTTCAGGTAGGAGGAGAAAGTCAGGAGTGGGGTGGGCCTGGTTCCATTTTAAGACAGACATAAGAAATGGTAAATACACTGGCAGGGTCTCCTACATATTCAGATTTGAATATATCAAGTCTAAAAAGGCATCTGCGAGACAACTGAGGAAACGCAGAAATGGACTGGGTAGGAGATGATGTTAAGAAATAAGTGTTCGTATTGTAACATGTGATAATGAATGGGATAGTGATTATGTAAAAAACACCTAATTTTTAGGGGGTGGCACTGGGGATTGAACCCTAGACCTTCACTGAGCTACAACCCTGGCCCTTTTAAAAATTTTTCTTTTTTATTTTGAGACAGGGTCTTGCTACATCGGTGAGTCACCCTGGCAGGGCCTGAACTTGGGATCCTCCTGTGTCAGGCTCCCAGAGTGCCGGGATTACAGGTGTATGCCACAATACCCTGAAAAGCAAATCCATGTTTCTAAGAGATGCATATTCAAGTACACAGGGACAAAATGATGAGAGATTTTGCTCTAACGTACTTTTGGGGTAAAAACACGATACATGAGACAACTGTGGCAATCACTAAGTAAATGGAACAGGGAATGATGTTATACTACTCTATTTTTGTATATATTTGGAAATCTTTTTAATCAAAAGTTTCATCTAAAAGGACAAGTCCTTTGTTGTCAGAACAAATTTTCATCTTTTTATGAAATTTTCCCTTACGGTTGCTTACATACCCTTCATTTGTCTAGGCCCCAAGGTCATAGGAATCAACTGAGCAAACAAGAACACTATAAGAAACTCACATTTTATGGTGGGAGACTGACATTTTAGAAATTTATATTAAATAATTTTAAATTCAGTAAAGACAAAAATAAAATTCATTATATATTTTGCTTGTCCCCTTTCAAATATGATTAAGTCAAGATCTCAAAATGGCTGGTAAGGAAGGGAAGTCATATTCAGAAGACAGGGAAGCCATTGCATTCAGAAATATCCCTCCTTGTGTTTGCTCTTATTTGTTGGTTCCTCCCTTCCCAAATTATTTGCACATAAATTCTCAATTGAATTCAATGGTCTCTATCTGCAGCCACATTCAAAGCAGATTTAAGAAATATATTTCTGAAGCTGGGCATGGTGGCGCACACCTGTAATCCCAGTATTTGGGAAGCTGAGGCAGGAGGATCGTTTTAAGGTTGAGACCAGCCTGGGCTACAAAGTGAGCTCAAAGCCATCCTGAACTGCACAGTGAAACCCTTTCTCAAAAAGACAAAAGAGGGGCTGGGGATTTAGCTCAGCAGCAAAAGCGCCTGCCTGGCAAGCGCAAGGTCGTGAGTTCGGTTCCCAGTACCAGAGAAAAAACCAAAAAAA